GACAACGCCATCCAAGACTTTCATAGCTAGAGAGGGGAAGTCAATGCCTGGCTTCAAAGCTTCAAAGGACTCTTTTGTAGGGGCTAATGCTGCTGGTGACTTTAAGTTGAAACCAGTGCTCATTTACCATTTCGAAAATCCCGGGCCCTTTAGAATTATGCTGAGTCTACTCTGCCTGTGCTTTATAAATGGAATAACAAAGCCTGGATAATTGGACTCTTCTGTTTCTAGGCTGTTGAAGATGAATCAAAGTGATATTAACCATTAAACTTTGTATTAAGCTTTTTAAAAACTAAATAAATAATATATACATATTTCAGCCTAAATAAAATGGACTTTTATATTTTTAAAAAAAAGCCTGGATGAAAAGTGTGTCTGTTTACAGCATGGTTTACTGAGTATTTTAAGCCCATCATGGAGACCTACTGCCCAGAAAAAGATTCCTTTCAAAATATTAATGCTCATTGACAATGCACGAAGTCACTAAGAGCTCTGATGGAGATGTACAAGGAGACTTATGCTGTTTTCATGCCTGCTAACATCGCATCCATTCTACAGCCCATATATCAAGGAGTAATTTTGACAATCCAGTCTTATTATTTAAGAAATACATTTAATAAGGATACGAAGTAGACAGGGATTCCTCTGATGGATCTGGGCAAAGTAAACTGAAAACCTTCTGGAAAGGATTTACCATTCTAGACACCATTAAAAAGATCTGTGATTCATGGGGAGAGGTCAAAATACCAATATGAATAGGAGTTTGGAAAAAGTTGATTCCAACCTTTATGTGAAGGAAGTCACTGTAGAGGCGGTGGAAATAGCAAGAGAACTAAATTAGAAGTGGAGCCTGAAGATGGGACTGAATCGCTGCGATCTCATACGGGGCCACGTGGGGGACACACCGGGAGCAGAGTGAACCAGGGGGGCTGAGGGAGGCGGGCTTTGTAGTAACAAGAGGATGAGCCTCCCTGGTTCCCAGAGGAGGATGGGATTGGTTTGTTTGACTAATTGGTTTGTTTGACTAATTATGTGTGAGTACCTTCTGGAGAGAGAACCGTGGGACACCCAACTGTAGTGTAAGGGTGAGGAAGGAAGAGCTTTTCCTTGTGGCCGAGTATTGTTTTCACTGCATTTGCTAAAGGAAATGCCTGCATAATTCGGTTTAACTCTATCTCCCACTGGGGAAATAATGACAAAAGGCCTGGAAAAAAGAGAAACCGAACAGAACCGTGTTATTCCATTGCACGCCAGCCGCAAACAGATTCGGTTCTCCCTCTGGAAGCAGAAGCAGGCAGGGCAACCCTCCCTACACCTGCTCAAATCTCCATTTTGAGAAGACAGAACACTTGAGACCAGCTATTTTCCCTTCTCCACAGGTAAGTGAATATTAATACAAGTTCTTTTGAGATTCTGGGGAAGTTTGTATCATTGCATGAATAAGAGGAGTGATTTTTTTTTTTTTGAGACAGAGTCTTTGTTGCCTGGGCTAGAGTGCCATGGCGTCAGCCTAGCTCACAGCAACCTCCAACTCCTGGGCTCAAGCGATCCTCTTGCCTCAGCCTCCCGAGTAGCTGGGACTACAGGATGTGCCACCATGCCCGCCTAAGTTTTTCTATATATTTTTAGTTGCCCAGCTAATTTCTTTCTATTTTTGGTAGAGACGGGGTCTCCCTCTTGCTCAGGCTGGTCTTGAACTCCTGAGCTCAAATGATCCACCCGCCTTGGCCTCCCAAAGTGCTAGGATTACAGGTGCAAGCCACCGAGCCTGGCCTAGAGCAGTGGTTTTTCAAGACATATCCTGTAAGTTCTCATACACGGCCCTGAGTGAGCACAGAAGGGCTTCCCCTCCCATCGCTCCTCCATGCTACCCTCCTCCACCTCAAGCGAGGCGGCTCCTGTCTCCGAAGCTGACCCCAGAGAACACCAAGGAAAGACTGGACCGGCCTGTACTTTCGTCACCTGCTTTGGTTTACACTGCTGGTCAGATTAAGGTAAAAGCTGGGAGTCCCCTGAATGTGGGCTTTGTCGGGCAAATATGGACAAACCCAATAGTATGAACGTTCCCAGAGGGAGGGGACCTGCCCCAGGTGTAAAGCCTGCCCCCCTGGGAGCTGGAGGCCCCAGGCCTGGTAGTCTGGACCGAGAACCCAGGCTTCCCTGTCCTCTGTCAGAGGACTGGTGTGAAAAGACATTCTTGTCAGATCGTCGTTCTGTTCCCGAGGGAATCTTGTGGCTGTCTTGTGTCTGCAGAATTTAGGGCTTTACGATCTAGGGCGCTTCCAGGTGAAGCACCTGTGTGCAGTCGGCGGACTGCCCTTGTCTGCCTGTTCCTCAGCCCCCGTTCCCCCATTAATTAACCCAGTCATTTGGCAGCTGTTTATAAAGGGCTGCGTACCAGGCCCTGCTTGGCGATTTTAGCAACTGGATGACAGAACTTCCCGTTGCCAGTTGCTAAAGAACATGGTGATGGATGTCCACAAGTTAAGAGAGAAGAGGAGCTGTCAAAAGTGTATATGACTGGCAGTTCTGGGGGAAAAGGTGGTGGCATCTGTGAATAGCCAGGCAGGCTTGGGGTCACTGTCCATGTGCCCCAGGGAGTCCAGGAAAGGTCACAGCCATGACCACACAGTGGAGGAAATGAATGCATAAAATCCTGAGTTCAGAAGCACTGGCCCCAGCAGCGCCCTGCCCTCGGGTGTGCTCACTTGCCTCGGTGCGGGCGAGACAGCTGTCACCCCAACTCTACAATGAGGTCGCTGCAGCCTCTGGGCCCTCACTTTTTAAGGAGGTTTAATAAAAAAATTTTTTTAAGTAAATGAATGCCTCAAAGAAAATTTTAAACATGGACATGCTCCTGCTCTGTGTTGTAAGTTAAGCAGGACAGATGATTCTCTAGCCTCAAGAAGGGTCCCCTTTACTCTAAAACAGGACGACGGAGCCGACAAACACACACCTCCACTTGCGTTAGTGAGGAGGATGCCCAACAGGACGACCTGGACCCCACACACATGGGGACAAGAGGAGGTCAGGGAGGGCGGGAACCCTAGGGATGAATGAGCAGGCGTGTGGCCTGTTAGACAGTCAGCCAATGTGGCACTTCCTGCCTGAGGACATGGGTTCCCTCACCTGCGAGCACAAAACAACGTCTGCCTCACAAACCTTGGGGTAGAATTATATGACATGCCATACTTAAAATGCTTAATATAGAAATTAGCCCACAATTGACCTAATGTTTGAGAAGGAAAGAGGGGAAGTGGTATTTTGAAGCCAATTCATAGGATTCAGGGAACTTGTGAAGGATGTGAAAGAAATAGAAAAAGTAAATAAAAACATCATGGGCATGCTAGAAAGCAATAAAGTCTTCTGTTCAAGCCAAAAGTCAATGTTTCATATGAAATGTTGTCTGGACCAATAAATGTTTGACCAAGGGAAATGCCATGAAATCAGGCGGTTTTGCTTTTGTTGTTGTTTTGTTTGTTTGTCTTGCTTCATAGCAGCTTGGGAGGTTTGGCTTCATGGGAAGTTGGTTGATTCAGTGAAGAAATATGTGCCGGCACCTACCACGTGGGAGGCCCTGTGCTAGCCTTGGAGACGCGGTGAGTAAGGTGCACGCACGCTGCCCTGCAGAGTTTGCATGCTGTCAGGGAAGACTGGTCAGACAAATGCAGTAAATTGACATATTAATTAAAGAAACACAGCACAGTGAAAAAGTTAATTAAATGAGTGCGGGAAAGCACGTTAAGTGCTATGAGAATGGAAGAGCAGAGTCTTGTGGGGTGCAGACGGGCCAGCTGGAGGAGGTCTTGGCGAGCTCTTTGGAGGAACTGACCCCTTCGCTGCCAGCTGACGGATGAGTAGCATTTGCAAGTTTCGAGAGACAGCAGGAGACAAAAAAGAAGAGTGTAAAAGAAACCAAGAGACAGCACAGGCGGCCCTCGTATCTGTAGGTTCCACATCTGTGGATTCAACCAACTGTGAATTGAAAACACTTGGGGAAAAGACCGAACATGTACTCAACATGTACAAACTTTTTTTTGTCATTATCTTTTAAACAATACAGCATAACCAATATTTACATAGCATTTGCATTGTATTAGGTATTAAGTAATCTAGAGATGATTTAAAGTATACAGGAGGCTTGCACAAGCTATACGCAAATACAATGACATTTTCTCAGGGACTTGAGCATCCTCAGATTTTGGTGTCTTTGGGGATGCTGGGACCAACCCCCCTCTCCCCAGGAAATACTGAGAGTCAACCGTATATGGGAGGCTCTGAACGGGAGTGAGGGATGGGCCGGTGTGAGCAAGGAAGGAAGCTCCGCTTGGCGTGCTTGCAGACGGCGTGGGAGTGGTGAGAAATGAAGCCGAAGGTAACGCTGGATCCCCCTAGGCCTTGCAAGCATGCTAGAAAAGAGTTGGGGCTTTATCCTAGGGGCTGGGGGACGCCCCTGAAATCCCTGGCATTTGGGCAGGATCCCTTAGCAGTGGTGTGGAGACAGGACCGGAGAGGGTGGAGATCAGCTGCGACCATGGCAAACTGGACTAGGATAGTGGCAGCAGAGGGGAGGAGAGAGGGCTCTACCCCTAATGTAAGCCGAGGAGCCATCCAGAAATGGTGCAAGGGCTGCCTAAAGGTGACTGCTCACCTCTGCCAGGGGCATCTCTGGTGGCTCAGTGGAAAAAAAAGCTGTCAGAGGAAATTAACACACACAGAAATCTTGCCTGTGCTGCGGGTGGAAGCTCTGTGCACATTCAAGCACCTGACCCCGTGGGTAATCAGAGAGCAATTACACGTCGCACGCTAGATGGAATCTGGCTACCGTGGGCTAAAATGGATCTGAAGTGGATGGCAGTGATTAAGCACAGGCCTGTGGCAGTACCCTGGTGGGCCAATTACAGACAGCTGCAGGAAAATGCGATGGTCCTACCAAGAGAGAGGAGGGCTAATTAGAGAGGCCAGCCTGGAATGGCGTGATGAGCTGATAAGAAGGCACAATGGTACCACGTCTAAATGCTGTCCACCAGACGATTCCGGGTAAGCAAACGTGCAAGGGGGGGTGGTGGGAACATTCAAAGAACAGATGCCAAGAGAGGATGCAAACTCAGCTGATGGTGAAGCTGGGAGCAAAGGCAAATCACAGGTGACAGCACGGGGACCTGTCCTACCTGGGCGATCTGACAATCAGCCACTCCTCGAGGCGTCCGGAGAGACGGGGGTCCAGCAAGACCGTGGCCCGGGGTGAGACTCTCTCTTACTGAATCCAGATGCAAAGCGGAGAACTTTTTGTAACCCTGGTCTTCCAGCTCACCTTGGCCAACGTGGTAGTAGTGCCCACCCTCTCATCTACTTTCTGTCTGGGCCGATACCTGAGAAGCATTGTCAGAAGCAGCTCACAGATGATGGCACTTCGTCACCGGCAAAGGTGTTCACACAGATCGTACTGATGACCGCGATGAGCCCTGACATTTACTGAGCAATTCTCCTTGGCCGTGCATTTCCCTGTGTGCTTTGCATGTATTTTCTTGTTTAATCCTCACGAACTGTGTGGTAGGTACTATTATCCTGGATTGACTGAGGAGGTAGAGAGGTTAACGTGCCAAAATCCCACGTGATGCTCGTAACAACTCTGTGAGGGATGCACAGCCGGTCTCCCTGATTTGTAGGTGAGGCAATGCAGGTTGGAAAGAGTTGCCCAAAGTCACACTCATGTAGCTAGTGGCTATTAGGGCCCAATCCAGAGGTCTTTCTACTACATATACTATGTTGCCTATAAAAGAAGAAGCAGGCCAGGGGCATTGGCCCACACCTGTAATCTCAGCACTTTGGGAGGCCAAGGCGGGAGGCTTGCTTGAGGCCAGGAGTTTGAGACCAGCCTGGGCAACATAGCAAAACCCTATCTCTAGGCCGGGCGCGGTGGCTCACACCTGTAATCCTAGCACTCTGGGATGCTGAGGCGGGCGGATTGCTCAAGGTCAGGAGTTCGAAACCAGCCTGAGCGAGATCCCCGTCTCTAGTAAAAATAGAACGAAATTAATTGACCAACTAAAAATATATATACAAAAAATTAGCCGGGCATGGTGGCGCATGCCTGTAGTCCCAGCTACTCAGGAGGCTGAGGCAATAGGATCGCTTGAGCCCAAGAGATTGAGGTTGCTGTGAGCTAGGCTGATGCCATGGCACTCACTCTAGCCTGGGCAACAAAGTGAGACTCTGTCTTAAAAAAAAAAAAAGTTTTGCAAAGGAGACGAGAGCCTGGAAGATGAGGAACAGGGGCTGGCCATCAGAAATTGACAAGGACCAACTGAGAGCAAGCATAGAAGCTGATCCTGTCACAACTACATGAGAAGTTGCTGAATAACTCAAGGTCAACCATTCTACAGTTATTCGGTATTTGAAACAAATTGTAAAGGTGAAAAAGCTGGATAAGCGGTTGCCTCATGAGCTGACCGAAAATCAAAAAATGGTCATTTTGAAGCGTTGTCTTCTCTTCTTGTATGCAACAACGGATCATCTCTTGATTGGATAGTGACTGATGTTGCAACAAAAAGTGGATTTTATATAACAACTGGCGCAACCAGCTCAGCAGTTCGACTGAGAAGAAGTGCCAAAGCACTTCTCAAAGCCAAATTTGCACTAAAAAAGGGTCATGGTCACTGTCTGGTGGTCTGATGCTGGTCTGATCCACTACAGCTTTCAGAATCTCGGTGAAACCATTACATCTGAAAAGTATGCTCAGCAGATCAATGAGATGCACTGAAAACTACAAAACCTGGAGCTGGCATTGATCAACACAAAGGGCCCAATTCTTCACGACAACGCCCGACTGCCTGTTATATAACCAGCTCTTCAAAAGTTGAAAGAATTGGGCTACAAAGTTTTGCCTTATCTGCAATGTTCACCTGACCTCTTGCCAACTGACTACCCCTTGTACAAGCATCTCGACAACTTTTTGCAGGGAAAACACTTCCACAATCAGCAGGATGCAGAAAATGCTTTCCAAGAGGTGGTCAAATCCCAAAGCACAGATTTTTACACTACAGGGATAAAGTTACTTCTCGTTGGCAAAAATGTGTTGGCTGCAATGGTTCCTATATTGATTAATAAAGATGTGTTTGAGCCTAGTTATGATTTAAAATTCACAGTCAAGAAGGCAGGAGGGAAGCCACGGGCATGCTGCACTGTACCAGGGCTGGAGGCCAAGAGAAAAGAGGAGCTCAGAGATTCATCACCCTGGCCCTGCTCACCTGGCAGGGGGAGGAGCAAGCCAGAACCAGCCCAAGGGAGACTATTGCAGACTTTCAGAGTTGTAGTGGGGGGATGTGTGTGGATTTCTCTCTTGGAGACAGGCTGCAGCAGCAAACGAGGAAAGCAACAGGTGGACCCGCATCACAGATGCCCTCTCACAGTCCTGGTCTTGAGACCGGATGAGACAGGCCTTATCACCATTTTTCCCACTTTCAAGATGAGGAGGCGGCAGATGAGGAGTGGGTATGAAGTGAGGATTCCAGTTCAGGACAGTAAGCCCTGGCTTGTTTTCAAAGCTGCATTTCTGTGCAGGGACCTGTTCATCAGATTGAGACGGGGCTTAATGATTTGGAATGACAGAGGGTGTGAAAAGTAAGTAGCTGGTGAACATCAGACAATCCATCCTGCCACTGTTATCCAAGGACACTCTTCAGGCATGGGGTTCTCATAAACCAAGCTACCAGTATTCATTCAGGCCCCTCAACAGTGCTTCTCAAATTTTAATATGCACAGAATCACCTGGCGATCTCGCTGATTGAAGCAGGTCTGACACTCGGATTTCTAATGATGCTGATGGTCCACAGACTGCTTTGAGCAGCAGGGCCCCAGGGCAGTGGTCCCCAGACTTTTCTGCACATTTAAATCACCTGGGGAACTTCTAAAACTACTGATGCCTGCTCCCCACCCCCAGAAATTACGATTTACTTGGCTCAGGTACGCTCTGGGCTTTGGAACTCTGGAAAGATCTCCACGTGACACTAACTAGCAGACAAGCTGAGGAAGTACTGTCTGGTGCTTCCAGCGGAAGCAGGTACCGAGCACGCCGGGAAGCGAATCCACACGGAGCTAAACCGATGATGTGGCAAGAACAGGCCGGCTTAAATTACGCAAGGCTAATGCTTTCTACAGGGCTCTAGCCGATGGGCAACCAGTCACACCCCAGCGGTGCCTCGGTTTGCGCCGCCGGCCTGCGGTGCGCAGGCGCCGTTCCGCGGGGACCCGGCAGCCCCGCCTCTCACTCGGAGCAGGCGGGGCGCGGGCCGCCGCGGGCGCTCCCGGCGCATGCGCGGCCACGGCGCCGGCGTAGGGCGGGGCCTGGTGCCCGGGTGCCCGCGCTCCAGGAAGCGCGCCCGGAGCGGTGGGCCGCGCGCGCAAAGTCGCTGCACGTGGCTCGGCACGTGACTCCGCGCCTGGCCCGGGGCGCGGAGGCCGCGCACCCTGGAGCCGCCGGGCTCGGTCGCCGAGGCGGTGTCGTCCCTGACCATCGCCGACGCGTTCGTCGAGGCCGGCGAGAGCCCGGGCCCGCCCCCGCCGCCCCCCGCGCCGCCCCGGAGGTTCATCTGCTCCTTCCCCGACTGCAGCGCCAGTTACAACAAGGCCTGGAAGCTTGACGCGCACCTGTGCAAGCACACGGGGGAGGTAATGAGCCCTGCGACTGGGGAGCGCGGTGGCGCGCCAGGTGGGCGCGGCTCTCGCCCTGGGGCGGCGCGGATCCGGGGCAGCCAGCGCAGTAGCCCCCGGGCGCAGTAGCCCCGCAGGCCCCCGTCTGTGCTTGTGCTCAGCTCTGCTGTCCTGGACTTAGGGAAGGAGCTGAGGAAGTGGACAGGTTCTAGAACCTTCGTTGTGGGACCAAGGCGTCCTTGCCATAGGCTCGAGGCTTACCAAGTAACCCTTTCCCCTTTGCTCCTGAGGCCAGTCAGGCTCCTCCTCTTAATCTGTAAATAAGTGCACGGTTTGACAGCCCACTACCACCCGACACCTGCCTAAGCACCAGCCCCGGAGCTGGTATGGAGGATAGCTTACATGTACCGGGAGTTGTGAGGTTGGATAGTGTGGAGTCATCTTTGTTGTCCCTAATCTCACACACTAATTTGACAAACCCTGAGCCTACTCCAGGACTGGAGCAGTGCAAGGCTCTGTGGCTCCGCCCCTTGTTGTAGTACAGCTCACTGGTGTCTTCCTGTTCACTCGCTTTGCTCAGTGCACCTCCCTCCTGAGGGCCTTGGTGGTGTGCTTTTATTAGATACACAAAACTGGTTATTTGCGGGACGTGTCTTGGCTTTTCCTATAGGTTCGGAATGGAGTCCCTTCTTCCAACTCCTGGGTCTCAAATGGTGGTTGCAGTTAGAGCTGTGAGCTGTTTTCTTTGCGTCGCCCTGGCACCTGTGAGCTTTTCCAGGTATATGACACATTTTCCTGTAGCTGTGTTTTAGCACAGGACAGTGGGTGAGGCAGAAGCTGCTCTTTCCCTTGCCCCAGGCTTTCTTTTTTCTCTTTTTATTTTCTCATCTTAGGGTCCACTTCTAAACCCTAGGCTTTCTTTGGATGGGTGAAATTATGCTGTGGAGGGGACCTGTGCAGACAGGCTGTGCTAACAGCAAGTAATCTTCCAGAGGGGGCTGCTGTGGAAGCCTGGTGCCAGGTTAGGAGCAGGTTAACAATGTCGTATCGTTACTGTGAAGGCTGCCTGCTTATTTCAAATGCTGTTCATAGAGCATATGTCACTGTTTTCCTGCAGTGTGACTTTGTGAGAAGCTGTGGCATTTATGGTGTGTAACTTCATGCAGGAAAACCTTGTCTTGCTTGGTGTAGCCAGGTGCTCAAAACACTTTCTGAGTGGAAACCATGTCTGGAAAGGGAGTCTGTGGCTTTGCCTACTAGACACTTTAACCTTTTAAATAATAACCAGGGTTAATATAACTCACTAGGGTGGGATTGACATGGTTTTTCTTTTCTTCCTGCTAGAGACCATTTGTTTGTGACCATGAAGGCTGTGGCAAAGCCTTTGTCAGGGACTATCATCTGAGTCGCCATATCCTGAGTCATACTGGAGAAAAGCCATTTGTGTAAGTAGAGGACGATTTTTAGGCCTTTGAAGCGGGTGTTTGGCGTATAGACCTGGTAAGAAGATTGATTGTTAACTCATAAGATCAGGAATGTGAAGCTTCATTCACTCTTGTATATAAGAGCAAAACAGATTTTGAATGTGTGGAAGAGAATAGGAGTTTGTGGGTCATTTGTGTGTAATAAATTCCGGGAGTGAGTTAACCTGAAGTTCTCTTGAGTTTGCGTCCTCTCATCTCCCTTTAAGATATAAAGAAAACAAGAAATCAAGCTTGAAAACACACAGTTCTGACTGGATGGAAAAATGGTTCCCTGTGTTGTCGGGTCTTTATGAACAGCCCATTCTTTATAAGCTACTGGGATAAGAGATATAAGCATGAAATAGAGCGTTTTTTGGTTTTGTTTTTTTTTTTTGAGACAGAGTCTTACTCTGTTGCCTGGGCTAGAGTGCTGTGGCGTCAGCCTAGCTCACAGCAACTCAAACTCCTGGGCTCAAGCGATCCTCCCGCCTCAGCCTCCCAAGTAGCTGGGACTACAGGCATGCGCCACCATGCCCGGCTAATTTTTTGTATATATATTTTCAGTTGGCCAATTAATTTCTTTCTATTTATAGTAGAGACGAGGTCTCACGCTTGCTCAGGTTGGTTTCGAACTCCTGAGCTCAAACAATCCGCCTGCCTCGGCCTCCCAGAGAGCTAGGATTACAGGCGTGAGCCACCTCGCCCAGACATGAAATAGAGCTTTTAACAGTTTATCTTGTATTTCTTAGAATTAGGCCTTTGCACCACTACCATACAAGTTTTAATTTATTTTTCCTGGAATTGCTGATTATTTCTGAAAGGGAAAGATACTGCTTTCCTATCAGCTACTTCTTTAAGACAGTGGATCGCAAATTTGGGGTGCATGAGCATCACCTGAAGAGCTTATAAAATACACGTCTGGACCCCACCCCAGAGTTTCTGATTCAGTAGTGTGGGATAGGGCCAGAGAATCTGCATTTCTGGCAAGTTTCCAGGTGACGCTGATGTTGCTGGTCTGGTTTACATGCTTTGAGAACCACTAACCGAAATGTTCCATGAAAACATTGTTTTCACTGAAAAATCAAAATAACTGTTAGATGTCCAGAGCTTTATGCAGGGTACCATGTCAGGATATAGCTGTATAGTACTATTTTCAGATGTTAGGCTTTAATATCATAATTTCGTTGTATGAGAAAATTCTTAGAGCAGTAAGGTTTCCAATGACCTAAGTTGACTTTCTTTTAGTTTAAAGATGATAGTGAATGTGAAGCATCTGATTCTTGACACAGGACAGACTTCACTGCCACTTTACCATGTGGAGAGGCCTGTCTTGTGAGCGTGCTAGCCAGCGGGAGTGGAGCAAAGGGCCACCGGTGGCAGACGTCTTTCAGTCCTTGCTCCAGTAAACTGTGTGTCGTCAAAATCAGTGACCCTAAATGAAGTTTATTTCAAAATATAGTTCAAACAGACTAGAAAAAGTAACCAGTGTTCTTCAAAATAGTGCTGGGATAGTCTTTGACCTGGAAGTTTCACTTTGAGGAACGTAGATACACTGCACCTGCTTTAACTGTATGTACAAGATTATGTGCAACACTGTTGTTTGTTTGTTTGTTTTGAGGCAGAGTCTCACTTCATTGCCCAGGCTAGAGTGAGTGCCCTGGTGTCAGCCTAGCTCACAGCAACCTCAAACTCCTGGGCTCAAGCAATCCTCCTGCCTCAGCTTCCCGAGTAGCTGGGATTACAGGCATGCACCACCATGCCCGGCTAATTTTTTCTATATATATTAGTTGGCCAATTAATTTCTTTCTATTTATAGTAGAGACGGGGTCTCGCTCTTGCTCAGGCTGGTTTCGAACTCCTGACCTTGAGCAATCCGCCCGTCTCGGCCTCCCAGAGTGCTAGGATTACAGGCGTGAGCCACCATGCCCAGCCAACACTGTTAATAGAAGCAAAATGCTGGAATCAACCCAAATACTCCTCAGTAGGGACAGGTCAGAGTACAATGGAATACTGTACAGCTAGAATGAACACAGATGCTCTCTGTGAAACCATGAGAAAATTGCCAGGACACACCAATCAAAAAATCTGGGTGCAGAAGAGTCTGCTATATGGGATACCTTTTTGTGTGTTAAAAAAGTGCAGGGCAGGAGCACGTTGGATGGGCCAGAAGAAACTGAATTTGTTCCTGTTTGTATAAAGAAACCCTCAACGTTACGTAACAAAACTAAAAATGTTGTCAGCTGTCTGGGGAGTGGGGGGTACCGGTTGGGTAGGGGCAGGATGGAGTAAACAAACACTGCAGCCAGGAACAGCTCCACGGTGACACTCACACTCTGGGTCCCTGTATCTGGCTGCTCGTTCAACAGTGCTGCTTGGCTATCTCTGTGGCTTTTTACATTTCATGTGGCCAAAATTTCTCAGCCCAAACTGAGCTCACCTTTCTCTTTGGTCTTCTCCCCATTCTTGTCTGGATAGGTGGCCGACTGTCTGTCTCGTGTCTGTCTCGTGACCCGCAGCAAATATAAGGGGCTCCCTGGGCCCATCCCTCCCTCCTGTCCCTTGCAACAAGTAGGTTATCCGGTCCCATAACTCATCCCTCAGACCCCTCCCTGTTCCGGTGGCCCCTCTGTCATCTCAGCCCCCTGCTCCTCACTTGAATGACTGAGAGTGTTCTCTGCTTACAGACGGGGCCCTCCCATGGCCCGCTCTGGGATGCTTCCCTTCGTAAAGCTGTGCAGTGGTTTTAAGCACTGCTTACATATGAAGCCCAGTGTGTTGTAAGATGACCTGTGATTTGGTCCTTTTCTGCTTATCTTGCCCCATTTGCATGACTCAGTCATGAAATTGTGGTCCAGCGCAGCCCCCACCCCCCAAGTTTTCCAGCGTCCTTCACACCCCCTGCACCTGCTGTTTGTTCCCATCAGGACTCTTCCTAGCCATGTCTTCCTGCCCCACACTCATATTGGGTTAGATGTCTGTGTCAGGTTTGAGTCAAGAATGACAGGAAATGCAGCACAAGACAGGCTTAACCAAGATAGGCTCTGCTCCTGCGTGACTGAAATGCAGGTGAGGGGCCGGGTGCTCCTTGTAACTGGTCTTTCCGCCATCCTCATCTTGAGGCTTCACCCTCATGGTCCAAGAAGCCTGTTGGAGCCCAGCTGTTGCAAAAGCATTCCAACTGGCAAGGAGGAGGAGAGGGCACAGAGGTGTACCCCCTTTTTAGACACTTTGTGGGCATTGAGCAAGATGGGCTAGACCTACCTATGTGGCCACTAGGTGCAGGGGAGGCTGGAGGAAGCTGTATGTTGAACACCTGCCCAGCATTTTGTCCCTGTGATGGTGGGGGTCTTCTGGTGAACCCTGCCCTAGCACCCCTGCCATGTGTGGGCCTCTCACTGTCTGTGGTCTCTCTCTACCTGGCTCTGGGGCTAACATGTCCCTGATATGAATGTTGCTCAGCATTAACACTGAGCAATACCTAAGATCAAAGCTCCCCCTGCTTCATCCCTCAGGCTTAGGAAAACTCATCAAAAAGAGCACATACTGTCTTTAAAAAAAGAAAAATTCACAAAGGATTTAGATCATTTAAGGCCAAGATGCCAAGACAAGGGGAACTGGAATGGCTTGGTGACATGCCAGGAGGCATAATGGCTTATGGTTTTGCTCTGAGTGTCTATTTTACCTCTGATTATAAGCTGAGACCAGATTTTTTAAGTCTTTTTGGAAATGAAGTTTATAGTGACATTTCAAGCAGTGTTACAGTTATCAGATTCTAAACTGAGATTAACTTAAGCATGATTGAAGCTAGAGCAGGGTTTAGGTCTGTGGGACTGATATTTTCACCTTTCCTTCTGCCCAGTGTTTGAGGGGTTTCTGGTGCAGTGTGCATAATTTCAAAAGCCTAACATAAAAAGGCATCTTGTTCCATGATAGTCACATGAAACAAGTTACTTGATAGATTGAGCGAGAGGCCCACCTGGTATGACTTAACACTTTGGAATTTGTTAAAGGCTATTTTATACTATTTGGAATAATTAGCTTTTATAAAGTGGGGGGATATATGCATCTTAAAACTTCTCTTGCCTTGGTTTGTTAATATTTTGGTTTATACAACTCTTTGCAGTTGTGCAGCTGTTGGCTGTGACCAAAAATTCAACACAAAATCAAACTTGAAGAAACATTTTGAACGCAAACATGAAAATCAGCAAAAACATTATGTAGTAAGTATGACTTAAATGCTTAGTTTTTTGAAAATTTTTTACACTTTCTATGTTTCTAAAGTTTTCATCAACCAAATTTTCCCATCAAATATCTGAATTTAGTCTGCACTATCTGTCATAATCATAAAGGTTTTATTTTGGAAGCAAACATTGTGTGGATTAAAGTGTATTATTGAGAGACTACCTCAACTGAAACATTTTTGCTTTTTAAAATGTCATTACTCTTAAAGCTTCTTTAGATAAAGTAGAATTTTATAGTAACTAAAGGGTTGAAAGTAGCAATTATATAATCTCCGAAATAGTTTTATCTTGAGAGGTTTCTGTTATGAACTGTTGGATTTTTTAATATTTTTCTCAAGACTAACAAACCTTTACGAAACAGTGCAATTTTGAAGGTTGTCAGAAGACCTTTAAGAAACATCAGCAGCTGAAAACCCATCAGTGCCAGCATACCAACGAACCACTATTCAAGTAAGTACTCAAGTGGCTGAAAATCTCTTAAATTCTAGGTGTGAATGAGATTGAAATGCAAAGGTTGGAAACAAGTGTTCTGAAACAGTTTCCTAATCACTGTTTTCCTATAAATGTGTACTGTGTCTGCATATTTATATTTAGGGGCATTTTAAAAGTTTAATTTTGCTTTTATTTCTCTAAAACATTTCAAAATAATTTGTAAGATTATCATAGTTGTGGTTAAGCGTGAAGGGAAGGCTAAGAAATGACTTACCTATTCAAAAAGAGCCTATTCAAGTATATCAAATGTCATTACAAAGATACTCATTATTCTTGCAGAACAAAACAAAAGTAATTGGACTCAGCCTGCAGTTAGAGAGGGGCCAATTATTGCACGCTGAACACATTAGACGAGACCTGGAATGGGCCGGCAGCTCTCTGCACAGCTGTGGCTGGCCAGTGCCTTCCTCCAGGCTCGCACAGGCTGTCCTGTGCCTCTAAGTTGCTGCGGTGACCATGCCTGGTGCCTGTCCTTGCTTGTGGCCCTGCCACTTGTTCTGATGGCTTGAGCGCAGAAGTGGCATGTGCTTTTTACTGCATACCCAGGGTTGATGCATCTGCTGTTGTGTTCTCAGATCACACATCCCCTGTGCAGCATCATTAGGAAAACTAGATACAAGCAATTCGGAATGGTGGTGGTGTTGACCTAAGCCCAGTCAGATAACCTCTTGAAATATCTTTTCTGTAGCCATGGAAGCAGTGTATTTTCAGAGGCATAAAAGTGAAAAGAGTGTTTTTAATTTGGTCACATAAGCAAAAAAAGTAACACGACTGTTCCCTCTCAAACAGTGCATTTCGGTCCATGGCTGGTCAAATAACTTTAACTTCACTTGTGATTAGGTCTACATTTTAAATCGTATTTTTATAGGACGGGTTTGGTTGTGGGAAGAGGTGAGACTTTGGTGGGAGAAATAGGACAAAATACCACTTACCCTAAGTGGAGTTCTCTCTGAAAATGGATCAACTGTACTTGTTGTGTTGCTAATGCAGGTGTACCCAGGAAGGATGTGGGAAGCACTTTGCCACACCCAGCAAGCTGAAACGACACAGCAAGATCCACGAGGGTACGTGTGGACAGCCTGGATGTACTAACTCTGAGGGGCATGCTGAATACTCGGTGCCTTCTAGTCTGTTCTATGGTCATGTTGAGAAGATGGGACTCTGTAGGCAGAGGGACACCAGTCTGCTTATTCAGGCCTCACTCTTGTCCAAAGAGGCACTGCATGTCCTTCCACTAGTCTGTCATTGCTGCATTGCCATTCAAACTTGTTCACAGGTGCCTCGGTTACACTTCATACGTATGAGCATTGTTAGTACTCCAGACAAGGCTTTGCTGCTTTACTTGTTCTTAACCTCCTCTATTTCCCACCTATGCTGTTCTTGTCCTTGTTGGCTATTCAAAAGGCTTGGATAACACTGTTTTCAGAGCCACCAGATGATACTTTTTTCAGAAAGACTTGATTATATTAGCTATTTGAATCTATTATGTTTCCATGAGGATTTTCGATATTCTAATTTCGCAGATCCTAGAATTTGATTTTTTTTTAATGTTTTTTAAGAGATTAGTAGCTGAGCATGAGAGGCAACCTCATTCTTTTTAGTTTCTAGTTGGGTGAAACTCAGCCTGGCTGTTATACTGACTGACTGATCCAATTTTAGTGCTTTGCACATGTACAGTGTTATTCAGTATTTTTCTCTGGGTTTTTCTAGTTTATTTCCTTCCTTAGCTGTACTCAATTTCTTTTGTGCAGTGTGAAACAAGATGGCAAGACTAGAGGAAACCAGAGGGTGGGCACTGTAACTGCTGAGACTTCGGTGGTTTGCCAAGAACAAACACCTTAGAACACTCTTGTAAAAAATAGACAAGCACAGAGCAGGAAGGGGAAAGGGATTGGGACTTGGAGACACAGGGGATTAAAGCAGCTGGAGTCCATACACCGCACACCCAACTTCCCAAGAATAGGAGCGGGAAAGGCATCCATCTTGTGAAGTCTGCTAAGGTAAAACCCTGATGTGAAGCACCTTGGTATGCAATTGTTTGGTTTTACTGTAACACACACCTTAATGTTTATTCCTACCTATAGAGACTAACAGAATACTATGGGAGATGGAAGAAAAATTACATAGGCAGGAAAGTTTCCCTTCTAGTTATGGTCAATGTTTACACTGGGTATTCATGATAAGCAATGCATTCACCAACCTACTTTTTTTTTTAAATAGGCTATATTTGTCAAAAAGGATGTTCCTTTGTGGCAAAAACATGGACAGAACTTCTGAAACATGTGAGAGAAACCCATAGAGGTAAGGCAGGCATGAATGGAGTGACATAAATACCTGCTCTTACAGAACTGATTTGTGCTTTTCCAGAGTGAAACCTTAACTGTGTGCTTTAAAGTAAAAGGGTTTCAGTGCGACATTTTGTGAAGTGCTGGGTGCTGCGGCTGTAGGACAGATGAGCAGGGCTGTGCCAGGTCTCTCAGAGCTGCTGCCGCCACGCCCACGTGGCATGCTTCCAGGCGGCGGCAGCTGCGGTGTAGAATCCCGGGAGGCACTAGTGTTCAGGACAGTTTGGGAAACACTGTCCTACATACTGGAGGACAAGGAAGGAAACCAAGCATCTGTTTCATTTTCTCACGCTGCCCACAGCCACCGTGCTCAGAGCCTCTGCCCCGGCAAGTGAACAGTGACTATGGGTAATGTAAGGACTTAGGAGAATTGACACAAACTTTCTGGGTGATAAAAACTGGGTTTAGGTTCCTTAGAAGTTTCTGATTTGTGCGTAGTGACAAGGTTTTAGGCACTGAATGTTACTTGTGTGGTCAGTGTTTTTTCTATGTGGTAACATCTGGGGAAATTGGCTACATTTGTCTATTCCAACAGAGGAGATAACATGTGAAGTATGCCAGAAGACATTTAAACACAAAGATCACCTTAAGCAACACATGAAAGCTCATGCCCCAGAAAGGGATGTATACCGATGTCCACGAGACGGCTGTGGAAGAACCTACACGACTGTGTTTAATCTCCAGAGCCATGTCCTCTCTTTTCACGAGGAAAGGCGTCCTTTTGTGTGTGAACACGCTGGCTGTGGCAAAACGTTTGCAATGAAAGTAAGTGCTCGCTCTCATACGCAGTCCTGTAGTCCTTGGCTGCCACACTGGGAGCCCCGGGTCCCAGGGTGGCTCCAGACACACCTCCACTCTTGCTTCAGCTGGGTGGTTCTCAAAGCATGGCCCTAGACCGGTAGTGTCAGTTGGGAACTTGGAAACGCAGGCTCATGGGCCTGCCCTAGACCTGATGAGTCAGAAACTCGGGTTGGGACCATAATTGTTTTAACAAACCCTTTGGGGGATTCTTATGTGTTCTAAAGATGAGAGCCAGCATCCTTGGTGTCGTACACTGACTGTTCATGCTGATGCTGCAGGTGTCCCCTTTGACCCCCACTACCTAGGGACTGAGAATGGGAATAGGTGGCAGGGAGACCAGGGAACACAGAACTGTGGGATCTCCAGGTTTCGGCAGCCAGCAGGTAAGGACACAGCACGCAGTGGAGGGGCCTGTGCAGTTCTGCAGACTCACTCTGGGTGGTTCTTACCGTGAATCTTAATGAAGACTGGAGAGAGAGAAGACTCACTCAGCAGAGGTCCAAATCATTAGAAGACAATGGGGAGCTGATGGTGGTTGGCTTTACTATCAAAGACAAGACGGTCAGATTTCCCGCTGGTATTTATGAACACTGCTTAAACAGATGCAGTTAAAGAACTCCTTCAGCTTGGAATAGTTCACTTACAACAGGTTCCCTCCCTTATAAAAGAACTAAGATGCCACTGGTGGTTGGGATTATATAAATTCCTAACCTGGATCCTTAGAAAAGGTAATGATTTAAGTCCAGGATTTGAGGAAGAAATCTTTCCTTAGCTCTGGTGGGGCATTAGGCAGTCATATCCCTCAACAGCACATAACAGAAAGGTTGACATTTTAAATCACTCATGGAGTTTTCATATAAGTAGACACCAAATGTCAGTGTTTTTAAAATGTAACTTTTTTCTTTCATTGTAGCAAAGTCTCAGTAGGCATGCTGTTGTGCATGATCCTGACAAGAAGAAAATGAAGCTCAAAGTAAGTTGGAACTTCTTAGGCAAGCTATTTCTTTAAAACAGAAATTATTTAGAGCCAGGTGGGGCCTGGCAGTGGTAGCTCATGGCTGCAAGGAGGCTGAGGTGGGGATCTCTTGAGCTCAGAGTTGGAGATCAGCCTGAGCAAGAGCAAGACCCCCTCTCTACAAAAAATAGGACAAATCAGCTGGGGGTGGTGATATGCGTCTGTAGTCCCAGCTGTTCAGGAGGCTGAGGCAGGAGGATTGCTTGAGCCCAGGACTTTGAGGTTGCAGTGAGCTGTGATGATACCACTGCATTCTAGCTGGGATGACAGAAGGAGACTGTCTGAAAACAATAAATAAAGCCAGAGGGAGTCTGTTAGGAATATTTTCAACTACTGTTGTGAGTCTGCACTACTACTGAAGACTTGTCTTTCTTAAATGGAGTATTATATACCTATACCTGTTGGTACATACAACTATTGTAAAATTAATTCAGATAATTGATTTTTTATTTCTAATTGTCTATCTCCTTATTCCCAAAGGTAAAAAAGTCTCGTGAAAAACGAAGTTTGGCCTCTCGTCTCAGTGGATATATCCCTCCTAAAAGGAAACAAGAAAAGCAAGGCTTATCTTTGTCAAAAAATGGAGAGTTACTGAACTGTGTGAAAGACCAGGTGCTCACCACAGTTGCAATACTTACCCGTAACTAAATATCAGTTGCGTTGTTTGGAGGACCACAGACCAATGAGCTCAGCTATTTTCTCTCAGAAGTGTATTTTTCTTTATTAAAATCATAGTTGTAGAACATCTGAATCTGTATCATTTCCATTTTCTTTGTTCAAAGTGTCTTTTTTCTGGGTTTCTTGATATTCGTTCTCTTCCTTTTTGGTTAAAGGACGGAGAACACACATTAACGCTTTTCCTCCTCTAATAGGTTGTGGCTTGGATGAGAAGGTGGCCATTCCAGGCATAGTCTGGAGTATTTGATTAAATATCTCTTCCTAAAGAAGGAAAACAGAAAACAGCCAAAGATTAATTTAAAATCAGTGTCTTAATGCTTTCTAGTACTAATGCTCTAATACTCATAAAAAACCCAGCATTCTTGAATTGCTGTTTAAGTGATTAGCAAATCAGTTCATACATATCTGGTTAATTGAAATCTGTACTAACACACTGAAGGCTTAATAGTTTTAAATCTCCACTGTCATGGCACTAAGGGGGCTACATTTGGCCCCAGACTACCCTCTCCCCAAAACAAGTACAAAGCACTGGGTTTAGGCATCAGCAAAATACTCATCCCAAAAATTGTTATCTGAGTGCAGTTCCCAACACTCACTAACACAGAATCACTAGGAATGATTTTGTTTTAAAAAAAAGAGACCTGGGCTCAAGAAATTCTGGATTGGCTAGGACTAATCCCCTAAGTCCGCGGTCCCCAACTTTTTTGGCACCAGGAACTGGTTTCGTAAGAAAATTTTTCCATGGACTGGGGGGAGGGAGAGATGTTTTGGGATGATTCAAGCACATTACATTTATTGTGCACTTTATTTCTATTATACTGTAATATATAATGAAATAATTATACAACTCGCCATAATGCAGAATCAGTGGGAGCCCTGAGCTTGTTTTCCTGCAAGTAGACAGTCCCATCTGGGGGTGATGAGAGACAGTGACACCCAAAGTGTGTTGTTTATGTCCAGTCTACTCCATAATCTCATTTTGGTTGCTGTCACTGCAGAAAACCCAGCTTCACAAATAGGATGTTGGAAACGGAAGGAGGCTTTTCAGTGCTTTTGTGGCAATCTCAGGATATTCTGCCTTGACTTTAATCCAGAAGGTATGGAGATTTGAAGTTGTCTCAAACATACTTTTAAGGTCACTGTCATTTGTGATCTCAAGCCATTGATCCTCTTCTAGCATGGATGAAGTCAGTTCACCTGGCTTATTCACAAATGGGTCATGGATCCATTCCTTCCCAGTTTGGGGGTCTCTTGTGTTTGGGAAGTAATGTTAAAACTCCCAAATATTTTGAAAGCTGAGATAGGTGATCATGCATCAGCTGAGAGAAAGAAGGCCCTGGCTCAGTCTCTTTCAAAATCTCTGCTAATGTTTAAAACATAAAAATCCCAATGTTCACTTGTCATTCCTTAATTCTAGTTTGGCTTTCAAGGCAGGCACTTTATCTGCCAACTTGAACAGAGCTGTCATTCTCTTCTGAAGTGAAAGATTGAGTTGTTGAGCAGGTTGAATATGTCACCCAAGTAAGCAAATTTTGTGACTCATTCTGTGTCACTGAAATGTGTTGCCAGTGGTGACTGTTTTTCTAAAAGAAATCTCTGGAGTGGCTCTTATATAACTCAAAAACTCTGGCTGGTGACACTACCTTTTGAAAGCTGTCTCATTTCTGTGTGTAAAAGATGACGTGTGTGCTCTGTGTCCATCTCCTCACACAGCTGTGCAAACATACGTTAATGGCATGTACTTTAATGTGGTTGATAATTTTAATCACGTCCTATAAAACGTTTAGTTCAGGTGACATTTTTTGTCTAGCCAGCATTTCTCTATGGATAACACAGGACATAGACTCACATTCAGAAGCGACCTCCTTGACCCGTGCTGTGAAACCAGAAAGCCGTCCAGTCACGGGAACTGCTCTGTCCATGCATATACTGACACAAAATGACCAGTTCAGTTTTCCTGATATGTAATCATTCAAAGACTTGAATAGTTCTGCAGCGGTGGTGTTGGTTGGCAAAAAAAGTGCACATAACACATCCTCATGCACGTCCTCCTGAAAAATATATTGCATAAAGACAAGCATCGTGGCCTTGTCAATGTCGATAGACTCATCAACCTGGATTACATACCATGTAACTCATTAACAATTGTGCCTCAATATCCTCTGCTATTTCGTCCATTCGGTTAGTTATGGTGCTAGCTGAAAGAGGAACACGTGTTCCCTTTTGAACTGCAGCCTCTCCTAAAAGTTCATGGTGAATGTCCTTAGCAGCAGGCAGGACCAACTCCTCACCAATAGTAAAGGGCTGCTTAGCTTTGGCAATGTGGTTGGCCACTAAGAATGATGCTCTCAGTGCAGGCACACTGATGACGTGGTGACCTTCAACAATTGCTTCTGTTCTGCATGTTCACGGTTTTTTCTTTTCAAAAACTCCAAATTCTTGTTTTTTAAAGCAGGGTGCTTGGTCTCCATGTGGCAAAGCAGTTTTGAAGGTTTCATGGCTTCATTGGATAGCTGGATAGTTTTAAATCTCCACTGTCATGGCACTGTCAGCCCACAAAGAGGGCTTGGAGAATGTGAATCACCTATTGCAATGAACCCATGATTTAAGTAGGACTCTTGGTATTTTCTTTCAAATGCAGCTTTCGTTTTGTTGGCAGTCTTGGAGTCTTCTACTGTCTCATCATTGGGTCTTTCCCCATTTTCAAAGAGGCTGTCTGGTGATGTTTGCTTTTTACTCATTTTGCTGGGGTTAGCTTGTCAATTTTCCAAAACTGTGACTGGGACAAGTACACGGCGTGGGAAAGAGGCATGGATGGAAGTGGTAAATAAAATAATGGGCAGGCCACACAAAGACTAAAATAAGTGTCAGACTTTAACTTAAAGCCTACCATCAGCTGTAGCTTTACAACTGAAGATGCTCACTTGCCACTATATAGCCTGCCACCACATGCAACTTGTCACTTGCCACTCACTGACAGAGTTTTGATATAAGTCTGCAAAAGCAACTGATTTATTATGGTTTCTGTGCAGTCAAACCTCTCCGCTAATGATAATCTGTATCTGCAGCTGTTCCCTGGTGCCAGCACCACTGCTTGGGCTCCACCTCAGATCACCAGGCATTAGATTCTCATAAGGAGGGTGCAACTAGATCCCTCGCATGCGCAGTTTACAGTAAGGTTGGCGCTCCGATGAGAATCTAGGAGCTGCCGCTGATCTGGGAGGATATGGAGCTCAGGCAGTGATGCAAAAGACGGGGAGCGGCTGTAAATACAAATGAAGCTTCCCTCGTTCATCCACCGCTCACCTCCTGCTGTGCAGCCTGGTTCCTAACAGGCCACAGACCGGTACCAGTCCACAGCTCAGGTTGGGGACCACAGGCCTGAGTGATTCCACCGTGGAGCTAAGGTTCAAAACCACTTTTGATTTTGCTGCCCTTAGTGGGTAACAAAGTTATCTGACTCAAAAGTGAAACAGATATTCCATAAACTTATCGTAGGATTGTAAATTGATACATACTTTCTAGAAGACAGTTTGACTATATGATGCTTCTCATGAGTATAAAGAGGAAACAAAGGATGAATCTATAAAGTTTCCAGCTTTCCTATTTAAAGGTTAGTCTACACTTTGTAAAAAAAACAATAGTATATAGCTTTTACATTATAAAATACATTTTTTCACATGGCAAAATATGCTATAGTAGAAAACTTATACACAGTATGCTTATGTTTTGAAAAACAAACTGGAAAACTGATATCATGGGATAGATTTACCAGTCACTTTTCTTCGCCTTTAAAGTTTTCAGATTTTCTGGAACTATATTTTTAGATTAGAAAACAAAACAAGCAGTCACTCATACCTGCTTTTACTTACCATTTTATTTTCTGGCTCATCTGCGTTTTTCCCTTTCTTTATAGTAATTTGAACTTTGTGTTTTTTCTCAATCCACTGCTGAATCTGTTTACTCTTTGTGTCCAAATCATGTTGTGCAATATTTGAAGAAAAAGTTAGCTCCTTTGTCAGGGTTGGTCCTAGTTTGAAACAGGGAGATTTGGTGCTAGGGCTATTGAATAGTCTGCTATAAAACCTGAACTTTCCCATATGCACGTCACAGAATAATTGGTTATCCAGCTAATGGTCCTCTCGTATGACTTTCAGTTTCGCAGACCAGCAAACACTTTTTTAAATGGGGGAGATAAACATAAAGGTACCGATTTTTATCTGCCAGCATCTCCTAGATTCTCATCGGAGCGGGAACCTTACTGTGAACTGCGCGTGCATGGGATCTGGGTTGCACCCTCCTTATGAGAATCTAATGCCTGATGGTCTGAGGTGGAGCCCAAGCGGTGGTGCTGGCACGGGGGACCAGCTGCAGATACAGATAAAGGGCACTTAAAATCTAAAATGCTTCCATTTATTGTTAATAGTCCTTGGGTGAAAGAATACCCGAAGAATGGTTGTTTAAAAGAATAAAGTTTAGCTTTATGATAAACTTAATTTCTCTTATTTTTCTTTCTGATGGAGGTGAGTGTCCGAGGGACTCTTCTAATTCACTCCCTTTCTGATGCTCTCCTTGCTACTAAGGGGTCAGCCAGACTGTGTCAGCTGGGCAAGCTCCCTATGTCCTACGTCCACGCACTGTGTCTCTGGAAGTCCTACCTACTAGAAAATTATTTTACAGAGAAGGATCAGACTCTTGAATAAAGGTGTTGGGACAACTGAGAGTTTTCTGATGGGAAAAAGATCTCCCTATCTAATGGTCTACAGGGGAAAAAAATGCAACTTTAAAACAAACAGAAGAAAAGAATAGTTTATGACTTCAGGATAGAGGAAGGAGTTCATTATGACAAAGATGGGTAATTTTCCCATCTCAAAAATGGGACTGTGTAATAAAAGGCAAAGTCAAAATATACCTGGGATAAGGTTGTTGTATCACACACAGTAGAAACCCTAAAAACCTGGAAGAAATATAAACCATCTAAGAAAAATAAAGGAATATGAGAATAGGCAACTCAGAAGAAAAACTCAGATGGTGAAAGGAAATACAAATTAAAACAATAAAATATGGTTTCTCATCATCAGCATGACAAAAACTAGAGTATCACAGTACCAGGTGTGGGTCAGAATGTAGAGAAAAATGTCATATACTGCTGAGGAAAGCAGTTTGACCCACTTAGGTTCAGAGACCCTATAGTATGCACCAGTGTCCATAATAAAAACTGAGAACAAGCCCAGTGTTCGTGGAAATGTGTTAAATTTATGACATATTCTTATGATGAAATGTTACAGGTATTAATATAATAGATTAGCTACACCTACTAAATAAATATGGATAGATCTTGAAAACAACAGTACACCTTTTTTTTTTTTACACCTACAAAATAATATATACTGTCTACAATATAACTGTATGTAACTAGAGTTTAACAACATGGGCTGGAGTTTAACTCACTGAAAGCATGAGTGGCCAGGGGCACCTCTAGGAGGCAGGACAGGACAAGAGAAGAGAGTATAGAAGACTCAACTTTTCTGTAATATTTTGTTTAACCACTTCAGTATGGCGCTCACCGGCCGCGAAACCTCGCCCACAGCCGGCACTCACAGTCCGCACGGTAGTCGGTGCTGTGCATTGACGATGAATCCGTTTTGCTCTTGTGTGATGAGGAAAGCTTTAAAGCACTGAAAGCTTGTTTTACTTTACAGGCAGCTTTACTTATAATGTAAATCAGAATAGGTAACATATACATATATGTTTTCATTACGTTATTTTTAAATGTTCACAATTTTATTTTGATAAATGAAAAATTAGAAAAGTCATATCATGGCTGTCGGCTAAAGTCGACACTCGTTCCATCTGTGGCTATCAACTATAGTAGACACTCGTTCCAAAGTGGTTAAAAAATTGAAAGTACAACAATGCTAACACTTGCTCACTTCGGATGATGGGTAATGTATGTTACCCATTGTTATCTTTTCCTGTATGCTTTTATATTTCCAAAATAAACATCATTTTTTAAAAAGTTTTTTTATTTCCCCATGGTTGGTCTCTTCTGGATATTTTTTTGTTTTCCAGTCAACCTCCTTGTTGTGAAATGTGGCTACAAAACTAAGTGACAGATAATGTGTGGTTTTCTCAAGGTGCACAACCTCATGACAGCAGCACTGGGACCATTTACTGACTCCTGTCCCGTTGTGCTGTCCATTGAACAATCTTTCACAACGATCAGCACTTTTCTGGAACCGTGAAAAACAAGCATCTTCACTTAACATACAATTCATGGCTTCTGTGAGGCCTAAGTTTTACTACCGATATTGTCACAAAATACTTTGGCATGAGAGATGCTCTATGAATCACTTCAGAGTTTAAATGGCGCTTCCAGAAAATTAACCACACATCTCCACTTTAGAGATAAGAGGAAAGAAAAACACTCCAAAGGACAGAAGTTAAATGAGCGGCCCAGGAAAGGGCAAGGAACTCCGATCCATCCCTTGGAATCTCATTCCGTTTCACCCATTAGCTACTCTGCTTTAGGGACATGGCTACAGACCAGAGGGGGAAAAGAGTTTCCATCATTTTGGTTTGTTCACCTTGTTTCTCCCTCATTTTACACAGGTTTGAAGGAAGAGACGATGGGCATGGTAAAAGGAAAAACAAGCAAAAAAGGAATAGAAATAGGTAGGGATGGAAGAGAAAGAGACACTGGGGATGGTGGCAGAACTATGAATGTGCTAGTTTCTCATTTCCCCATTGTCACGGGCACCTTGGTAAATACCAGAATTTCAACTGCTGATTTGAAGTCCTAAAGGATTCAGGGAGCAAAATACCTACCAGTTTTCGGACTAGCCTTCTCCCTCTCTCTCAGCCTCATGCGTTCTTCGTGAATCTGTATCCCTGTCATGAGCTGGTACTGCGGAGGCTCTGCGCTGGGATTCTTTTGCACCAGTCTCAGGTCTCGCTCATCCAGGAGTCTAATCACATCTGCTCGGTGCATGATTCCCAAATCATTGCCCTTCTCATCAAGTACGTGAATAATTCGCTCACTAATTTTTCTTCCAGTGTTACTAAAAGCTGTTCCATCCTTTTTTTTCTTTTTTCTCTCATCCTGGATGTCTTGGATGGTGCTAAAAGCCTTCGTATGAATTAGGAAGGACAGCCTTGGGGCAGAAGCGGCAGGGGACAACTGTGCTGGTGCTGTCCTTTGTACAATGTGTTTACCAAAACATCTTCTAATGCAATTATTTTCCGTCTTTACAGTTTGTAGAATTAACCTATTTAGAAAAACAGCAGCCATCCTAAAAAAAGCAGTAAGAAAAGTTCATTAAAATTCAGTCACTTATCTCGTGGTCTGATACTGTGGTACATGGCAGGGCATGTGAGAGGCTGCAGAGACTATGTATGCTACCTCTTAAGTGCTAAGGAGATGCTGTTCCCTGGACTGCCAGAACCATGCACAGGAAAGCTACACCAACAAGGTGGACTGCTGGGTGACCTTGGCCAGGTTAACTCATGATGGCACTGTCCCCAGCACAAGTGGTTATTAGAATAAGTCAGATTTGCACAGTGCTTTGGTTTTCCATTTCTTTCTTCTGTACACATGATCTCATTTGACTCTATTTCCCATGGATCTTGTATAGCACTGACTACAAATGCAAATATCATCTTCAGGATTTATTTATGACAATGTAGTATATAAAATGATCGGTGTTTCATAAATATCAATTCATAACTGTTAACAATTTACCAACAACTCTGATGATACACAGAAGATAAGAATACTATTATGGGAAAGCGGATTTTCCAGGAAGGAAGGTGACCCACTGGAAGAACTGAGATTGTCAAAAAGGAAACACCCTGACATAAATCAAAGTGCCAATCTCATAAACTACAAGATCTTTCAGGCATCACTACCAAATGGTCACTGCAGCATATATGATGATAGCAGTTTTACTCCATGGCTAGAAGACTGAATTTGAAGCACTTATAAATTGTACTTTGATTTTTTTAATTGCATCTCTCTCTTTCCAGTCACATGTTTAGTAAATCTTAGAGGCGCAGGCTGAAGGGGTGATGAGAGGACTTGTCATCTCATCTAGGGTATGCTAAGAAACATTAGAGAATCAAGAACTCACAGAGGTGTGACTTGTCAAAGGTGAAAGAGGAAAAGAGGAGGTGTCTTCAGTAGTGCTTCTCAAAGAATGGCCCCCGTGCCACCTGCATGAGAATCGCCTGGGTGTTTAAAACTGGACATTTCCTCTGGTCCCTGGCTTTGATCCCACCAGGCTGTATGACCCACTGACCCCTCGCCCCTCGTGTTGAAAAGTGATATGAAAAAAAGCACGGTAAGTTAAATAGCAAGTGATGGTCATGCACAGTCTCACTTCCCTCCTTACCTAGCTTGATAACACCCAAACTGACAACTCTAGCTCCAATCTCTCCCGAGTTCCACACTTACAGTGTTAATTGCCTAACCAGCATCTCTACATAGATATGTAATAGTCATCCCAGAGTCAACAAGTCCAAAATTCACTTTTTAATCTTCCACACCAAACTTGCTCCTCTCTAAGTCTTCCCTGCCCCAGGCTAGAGTGCAGTGGCATCACCATTGCTCACCGCAGCCCCGAACTCCTGGGCTCAAGCCATCTTCCTGTCTCAATTTCCCAAGTAGCTGGGACTACAGGTGCTAGCCCCCACACCTGGCTCAAAATGCGGGATTTTTTTCAAACAAGTAAGCAAATAAACAAAAATACTACACATAAGAAAAAGATGAAGAAAAATTTATAAAAACCCTGGTTATTTGAGGTTTAAGACAAAAGTGATTTTCCCCTTATCTTTCCTAATCATTACTTCTCAAAATTTTTATGACTATTATTTTTTTATACTTGTAAATAAATTCTATTTATTTACAAAATAAACCCTATTTCAGAAAAATGTTGCAGGATCGTTAAGCTTTAAAAACAATTTCCAAGAAGAGAAAAAGGGAAAATAAAAGAGTAGAAAAATACTGAAACTATGTTTTTAAATTTAAAGTCCTTTACCATTATTCAAATTTAATTTTAAATTTAAAAAAGCTTCAAATTTTCTTGATTTATATAGTAGGCAAAGTAGTTCAAAACACTTAAGCTTTAATACTAGTTAAATTTTGGCTGTAGATCAGCAAAGTTCAAAATATACATGTTTCCTCAAAATAGGCCTTTATACGTTAAAAAAAACCTGTAATATTAAATTTGAATTGCAAATGTCAACATAAATTCATAATTTTAAAACCTTTTATTAGGAAACTTTTCAAACTGGTACAGGAAGAATAGCATAATAAACAGCACACGCCAAACCTGTTTCATCTCTACCCTCTCAATATCTCCTCCCAACCATCCAGGAACTATTTCAAAATCAATCCTATTCTATCAGTAAATACTTCAGCATGTATCTCTAAGAGGCACTCTTTTATCTTTTTAATAATACCAACAACGTTATCCCAATTAATAATCGTTCCTTTATATCATCAAATATCTGGTTTTCAGATTTCCCTGATAGTATTACAATTTTGTTTGTTTACACTTCATTTACAGTCTGGCAGCATTAAGAGACTCCCACTGGTCAAATTTGGTATAATTTAAACATTAAGGACTAATGACTGTAATTCATTTCAACACACTGAATATGCAAAAATCTATGAAAATGATAATTTGCCACAACTGTATGTGACTATTATCCCGATTCCTTACTTTGAAAATTGGTGAATTGGTAATTAAACAAAAAAGAACTGAGCATTTATCCTACCTTTTTGGGAAGAACTATAATCATCCCCACTTGATGAGGAAAAGCTCTTCTTTAGAAGAGAATGACAGCTAATAAATGGAAAAGAAAAGTAAATGCAATTAGAAAATTACCATTTTGCCATCCCCAATGAAATCACTGACTCAGGCAAGGATAGATGCAAAAAATCATTAGGTAGAAAGCTGATGCCAAAGGGTCACCCACAGATTACTTGCAGAAAAAGGAAAAAAACACACTCTGCCAAGGAGACAGCTGTCTGTCACCATCTTAATCAAAGGTCACACTCAGCATATTCAATGGGGGGACAACTTGCCATCCCAGCGTACACCTCCTGATGTGAAGCCACCCAGTACTCCAGACCTTCTCTGAGGCAGCCTTGCCAAAAGGCCTACCCTGAACCGGATGTGGTGTCAGAACCTGGCTTCCAGTTTTCAGAGGGTACAAGGGCCAGACTCTGGGAGAAACACATTAGAGGACACTGCAAGGGAATAATCTGACAGATCCAGACTGTGGGACAACTGGCTTGATATCTAAAAAAGTCGTCGTCATTGGGAAAGAAAAAGGAAGTGGGAGGCTACTCCTGAATAAAATGATCAAGTAAACATAATTATAAAATGCTGAAGGGGTCTGCTGGGGATGGGGGAAGGAACTGGTATTAGACACTATTAGAGAAGTACTGCTCATTTTCGTAGGTGTGAAAATGGAATTCTGAGGGAAGGAATGTCGAGGTATTAGGATAGTGCCATTGACATCTGTCAATTCCTTTGAAATGGTTCAGCAGGAAATATAAAGTATGGCAACATCTGCTGAATCTAGGTTATGGTTGTATACACGTTCAGTTACTAGTCTTTCAACTTTTTTGTATGTTTAAAAATTTTTTTCATAATTAAAAAGTTTTTAAAAAATCAATCAGGCCAGGCATGGTGGCTCACCCTGTAATCTCAGCACTTTGGGAGGCCTAGGTGGGAGGATCACTTGAGCCCATGAGTTTAAGACTGCAGTGTGCTATGATTGCGCCATATGATCTTGCCACTACACTGCAGCCTGGGTGACAGAGCTAGACCCTGTCTCTAAAATAAAAATAAATATATAAATAAAAAATAAATCATTAGGCTAGAGCTTCAGTCCCCAAACCGCGGGGCCAGGGACCAGTCCCAGTCCGTGGCCTGTTAGAAACCAGGCCGCACAGCAGGAGGTGAGTGGTGGGCTGGAAAGTGGAGCTCAATCTGTATTTGCAGTTGCTCCCCACTGCTGGCATCACTGCCTGAGCTCCACCTCCTGTCAGAGCAGTGCTAGGAGCAGCTGCAAATGCAATAAATGTTATGTGCTTGAATCATCCTGAAACCATTCTCCCCTCACACCCTCCTACCCCCTCCCCCACCCTGCTGGGTCCCTGGAAAAACTGTCTTCTGCGAAACCAGTCCCTGGTGCCAAAAAGGTTGGGGACTGTTGGTCTAGAGGGATGAAAAAGTTCACTTCATTAGTCAGGTCTATATGACTACTCAGTCTGCATAAGTTCTAAATTTCATTGTAACTTAATACACATTGGCATTCTGGCTTAGTACAGTTTTACAAAAAAAAATTCCCTGTTTTAGTTTCAAGCCTCTAAGTGACCTATAAATAGGAACTTTAAATACTTAAAATTCTGAATTGTTTTGTGATGCATATTACCTTTAGTTTTCCATCTAGTTTTCATCAAACCTGAGTCTAAAAGTGTTTCATCATCATAAATGGTGATGGTTTCAGTCTGACATTGAACTCGTATAATTTTTGCTAATTAACAGTTAAAAGTTAACATGACTACATCAGGGAAGTGTTTCTCAGAAACGGGAGGCCTGTCAGCAGCATCTGGCGATGCTTCTCAAAACACAGGTATGTCCTCTCCCCTCTTCTGTTAAAAACCACTGGGTCAGGACAAAAATGAGAGAGAGAAATTTAAGAAAATAAGTAATAAAATATTATAATGTAAGTGGTTCAAAGGTAGTTTAAGGCAGGATGTCTGAGATTACCCTTAACCTTTCAAGGTTGATGTAAAATAGGAAACCATGTTCTCTGACAAGATACTTCTGTCAGATAAGTAATACTAGGCTGAATAGACAGACCAGTAGTCTAAGTCAAAACAAAAATGCTCATGTTATGACAATATTGGTGCATTTGCTGTACTTTTACTCCCACGACTATACTCTGAGACATCCATAATATCCTAAAAGCCAATTATCTTAATGTCAGTTTACTTAAAATACATAATTTTATGGCATGAGATACCTGTTTCTGATTTGATGATTACTCAGACCTTATCAAAATCAAGCTGCACTGCATTAGTCTGCATCTACCCGTAGCTTTAAATTCAGTAGCTGGCTCCACATTGTAGAAAGAAACACATAATTTCTATTTATTTATTCCTTATTTACTCGAGACTGGATCACTGAAAAACTCCTAGAGGAGAAATAAGGATGCCTCTTGGGCATCATCACTAACTTTCCTAGGATGATGTAAGTAAGAAAAAATGTCAATTGCATCACTCCAAATGTATGCCATAGTTAATGTTTGATCCACCTACTCCATAAGAAACTGAAATGATTTAAATAGTAAGCCATAAAGTGGGAAATTATGAAATAAACATGTGGCTATCTCCATATGCTATATATTTCAGGTGAGCCTAGGGTTGTGTTCATTTTCATATTGTCTTCAGTTGTCTAAAATAAACAATATTCTTTAAAGAACTATATTTCCCAACATTTTGTTATGAAAATGTTTAAATACACAGACAAGTTGAGACTTTAAATACCCCAGTATGTATCACCTAGATTTTATGCTTAATGTTTTTACTCTTGCTTGGTCTATCCATCTATTTACTCCTCCTTCCATTCATTTTGCTTACATTTTGATACATTTCAAACTAAATTGCAGACACTAGTACACTTTATCCTCAAATACTTTGGCATGCATATGATTAGAGTTCGATATTTAAATTTTCTTTTGATGAAAAATTTATACATAATGAAATGTACAAATCTTAAACATTTGATTAGTTTTGACAAGTACATACACCTTTGTAACCAAAACCCCTATCAACATGTAGAACATGAACATGACTATCATCCCAGAAAGTTCCCTCATGCCTCCTCCAAGTCAATCCCTAACCCCACCTAGAACCATTGTTTTAATTTTTTTCCATAATAGTCTGTTCTAAGACTTCATAAAAATGGAATTGAACAATATGTATTCTTTGTTGTAAGGCATCTTAGCATAATGTTTTCAAGATTCATCCATGTTGTTGTATTATATCATTAGTTTGTTCCTTTTTACTTCTGAGAAGTGTCCTCCCAGTATATGAATATACTACAGTTTTTAAATCTAGTTTTCTGTTAATGAACACCTAGGCTGTTTCCAGTTTTTGGCTATTATGAATAGTTGATGTGAACATTCTTGTACCAAAAAAAAGCAGCAATGGTTACTGTTTCAAAGGTCAGTTGCATTCTCTGTATGATACATTATTTTGCATTCTCCCAGAAGATACTATTTACATATTGTAAGGAAAATTTCTGGCACATGATTTTAAATATGTGGTTTAGTTGATAGAATCAAAAGGGGTGGGTGGGGAGTCCCTGTACTATAAGAAATTAAATTGCTTGCATGCATTTTATTAATAAAAACCATATGGACTGAAGAGATTAATATAACTTCTATTGTTCATTCACTGATATTCTTTCTCATATAGCTGAGAATCACAAATTCATACTGATATCTATTCTTTCCAGGTAGGTTGGTCAAAGTTATCTAGATTCTAGTGGACTAGATATTTGTGAAATTAATTTTGCCAATTCCTATGACTCTAAGAATTCTCTTTCACACTTTCCAAAGGAGCTTAACAAAATCCTTGCTTCTGCCTGTGAACTGTCCCACCCTCTCCATTCTAGCTTGGGTTGAGCAGCCTTAAACCCAAAGGACTGCACTATGGTTACTGAACCTTCTTGCTACCCTCCCTTCTTGCTGGTTTTACTCTTCCAAATGAAGCACAAAGTACTTTCTACTATGAGACTGAGTCATTTATGTACTAGAACTCCGATTTAGAATAGGAAAAAAAACCAACATATATTTTTGGCCAATTACTTAACCACATCTCTAGCTGTTAAATTCAAATAATTTAATGACTATCCAGAAAAAATTTAAATAGCTTTTAAACCTAGAGCTAAAGACTCAGTATTAAAAGTTGAACTTGGTCAGGAGCAGTGGCTCATGCCTATAATCCCAGCACTCTAGAAGGTAGAGGCAGGAGGACTGCTTGAGGTCAGGAGTTCCAGACTAGCCTCAACAGCAGCAAGATCCTGTCTCTACTATAAATAGAAAAATAAGCCAGTGTCAGGGTGCATGCCTATAGTCCCAGCAACTCAGGAAGCAGAAGGGGAGCACTTGAGTCCAGGAGTTAGAGGTTGCACTGAGCTCTGAAGACACCACTGCACTCTAGTCCCAGCAAGAGAGCAAGACCCTGTCTCTCAAAAAAAAAGTTGAACTTATTTCTGTATGTTAATTTTCCAAATGGCCATGTCCTCTTCCACATCACTATCCATCCAGCCTTGAGTCACCTTTGACACCTCCTCTCTCCCTCACTTCACAGCCAACTCAACACCAAGTCTCATTAACTTTACTTCCTAAACCGCACTCAAATCCATCCAGGTCTCTCGGTATCCACAGTCACCACTCTTGTTTAAGACATAGACCTCTTGCTGGGATTCTGCCAGTCTCCTAACTCAGCTTTTACAAACCGCCTGAGTCCTGCAACTGGTTCTCCCCATTGCACTGCTGTCACCACACCCAGGGCCCTCCCCACCTTAAAACTGCCCGAATATTAAAGACCTCCACCTTCACCAGGCCAAAAAGCCCCTCCACCTCTCCAGCCTCTCCCTTCTGCCTGAGCCACGGTGTCTTGAAATTTAGTACACCAGAACAGCACCAAGCTCTATCTTTCTCAGGCATTCTTCTGACTGCCTCCCAAACTAAGCCAGATCTCCCACCTGCCTCCTCACTTGGTTGAGCTTGACATCAAATGCCTCGCAGTCCCATTTATCTTTCCCTTAAAGCACCTGTCACAATTTTAATTTTGTGATTATCTCATTACTACAAACACTTCCTCACTAGACGGCAAACTCTAAGAAGCAGGAAACAAGACCAGTTTATTCCTTACTCCGTTGAGCCTGGCACAATAAACAGTAGTTCATTTTCCAGATTCTCCCCTCTACCTTGTGTTCTTCTCTTAGATTAACACCTTTCACAACATGTACTTGGAACCGAGGCTTCTTGGCAGGAAAACTTAATTTACGTCCTTCAGGAGTCTTAGGCCACGGAGCCTACTAAATGATAAACAGGGAAAGAAATCCCAAATCACTTCCCGACCTCCCCCAGTAAGGCCTCCCCCGGCGGCAGCAGCCCGCAGGCGAAGCGTTTGTCCGGCCTTTCCTGCGCACACACTAGCGCAGGCGCCCGCGCCCAGCCCCGGCCGGAGCAGGGCCCAGCACGCAGGAGCCGCGCACTTCCGGACGGAGCTGACCCGGTCACGTGACGCAGCGGCGGCCGCGGCCACGCCCACTCAGAGAACGCACCCGCGACTGGCCTGGGCCAGAGAAGGGACGAACTGCGCGTGCGCGCGCGCAGGTGGGCCGCAATGGCTGGGTGGGACGTGGGATATCGCAGGACCAGCGACCCTACGAGGCCCGGGCAGCGGCCGGAACTCGAAGAAGGCCCCAGGGCCCGGCCAAACCCCCGACTCCGCCGCAGGGAATGCGGGAACTCCCCACGCCCCGCCCGCGCGGGACGGAGTAGCCATGACCTTACAGGGACGCGGCTGAGCGCAGTGCCACCTCCGCCGCAGGCACCCTCCCTAAGGCCATGTCCTCCCGCCGCAGGACCCCTCGTCACTCCGCGCCCCTCACCTTCAGCATTACGCGTCCTGGGGTCGGCCATTTAAAAGGTCAGGCAGAAGGAGCCAATAAGTGCTCTCCGGAGACACCCCTTCGCTTACCGTAGTGGGCGGGGCTTCGACCCGCGTCCTTTAAAGGAACGGTGACACGGGGAGCCGCGCTTTTCGGCTGGTGAGATTAAATTCCTCCGACAAAAAATGTGGAGCGCATGGGGGAAGTTCCTACAGGGAAATTGCTGCTCACCTGGCTCCCACCTCTCCAGAAGTGAGATGAAGATGTCGATTTTCTGCAGCAATCAGAGCATCCTCCAGTTACGTTAACGCCTATCTTGGCATGGCTGCGTCTCCCACTAGGGCTTATACAGAGTTTTCATAAACGTGTTTTTTATTTAATAAAATATTTTATATTTAACCAAATATTTCATAAACGTCTTTTATAATGATTGTGAGTTAAAGAGCACTGTTCCCAATTTACGGGTGAGCAGACAGACTCGGGGGTGTAAAAGGCTTACTTCGGTTTCCCACCTGCAAGCAATCGATTCCCAAACGGGTTCAGGTCATGTTGCAATTGGGAGAGGTTCTAACAAGTCATCAATTTGACCAAAGGGAAAACGTACCCGGAGTGGTTAGCAGGCTTGCCCAGAGTCCGAGTAGAGCCACTTCTAAACCTCGGTGCAGTCAGGTGCCTCTGCTTTCTCTCCTACCATCTGTTGGGGCCTCCCCCTGGGCCACCAGCAGCTGTTTCTTTAGGATTGGAGTTAACCACCTGTCCCTCCTTTTCTTAGGCAATTCCTCAATGCAGAGTGAGAATCTGCAATCCTGGTTTAGTGAAGCTACCTAATCTGGGAATAGTTTGAGTCCTTGTATGAAGAGAAACTCTAACACGTTGTCTTATTTAGTTCTCATTAAATAACTCCTTGAATCAGTTGTTACCTCTTTTATTACAGATGATGAAACCAGTTCAGCCTTAAAAATCTCCTTGAGAGCAAAGGCCAAGTGTCGGTTTCCTCATCCAGTCCACAGTGCTTGGCAGCGTGGGCACTCACTGTTAAAATAGTAGGGTGGTAAAACCTTGAAACAGCTGTGTGTGTGACCCAAAGTTCAGATTTGCATATTGGCCATTTCCAAGTTAAAAAAGAAGGATTAAAGATGCATTTTATTATACCAAATTATTTCTCTGTACCAAGATATATGTTTGTTTGATATAGATACCAGGATAGAGTAAGTAGCACAATACTTTCGGAAATGTTAGGTGCTCAGTAATTAATTGCCCACATCTATTACTGTTTTTACTTATGTGCCTGACACTGTTCCAAGTACTTAACATAAATCAAGTTGTTAATCTTCAGGACAACCTTACGAACTAATTACTATTATTACCCATTTTACAGATGAGGGAACTCCAGTGCAAAGAATTGAATTTGCCTGAGGTCACACAACGAGTAGCCGAATCAAGATTAAAAAATAAGAACCCTAGGCAGCCTGGTGCCAGAGTAGGTGCTCTTAACCCTAAATGTTCCTTATGCTGCTAGAGTAGTGAGTGAAGCAGTGAAGTTACAAGTCCTCAACAACATTAAATGATGTAAAATGTGTAAAAGCAATCGAAGCATTTAGTACCCAAATTAAGGACTTACAATTGGTGAGATTATGATATGAATAAATTCACACCAAGTGGTCACTGCTAACCAAAGCTACCTGCCATCATCCATCTGCGCTTTTTGAAGGCAGATGTGTTCGGAGTAGGTGCTTTGAGAAGCTTTCTAGACTGCCATTGTCAGATGTCTACATACATCTTTTCCCTTGAACTCCACTTTGACCTCCGGCCTAAATGGGACTTGGCAGCTTTTAAAGAGTCATTGAGAGTCTTGGGCTCATCTTGGTGGTGGCAGATTTTGAAGACCCTTGAATAAAGACTTTGTAGTTTGGTAAGGTAGTACTCCTATGCCACAGATCTGTAAACCGTCTGATCTGTTATGTGCACAGAAGAGGACTCCCAGACATGTATAGAGCTTTCCCGATTCTCATCGTTTCTATTATACATATAGTTTGCCAAAATAAAAAAGTCAAATCCTACTGACTCTAAAACTTTCCACTACATAGTAATCTCCATGGCAGGCCTGTGAAGTTTCTCAGTCAATGCCTATGTGTATTGAATGCTCTGGTGAAGGATTAATGGGAATGTTCTGTTCCTCTCCATGCCTGTGAACTTTCAAGTTCTCTCAATTTTCCCAGATGCAGAGGGAACTTTCTAAAACAGGGAGGTGTATGAGATGCAGTTGCTTAGCCCAAGGTCATTGAGGTACAATGTATCTGATCTACCAAGGAATTATTCTATGGGTGATTTCTTTAAGAAGTCAACACTAGGCTGTGTCTTCATAATGCCACAATGACTGTAACAATTAATTTTAAAAGCTAATCTTACAGTAATCAAAATCCTGGGTTTATTTCAAAGTTATGTAGAAGCTACAAAGCCTGCGTGGGTTCAGATAGTCAGCATATTCTTCAACAAATAGTTGTTCGTGGATTACAGTTAATTTATATTGTCTCCCCATAAGTTAATAAGCTCCTGTCAGGGCAGTTTTGCTAAAATAGGGAAATTGAAGTCTATAATGCTTGAGATCCTATGTAGTACCAACAGCTAAATCTAGCTGAAAGCAATTGTCTTAAATGGCTGCAACTCTGTCATTACAATGGTGGTCAAATAACTGAGAGGATCCAAACTCCCCTTGGTATATGTTTACGGACTTGTCAAAAGGATGATGAAAAACCAGACATGTAAGAGGTTTTGGCTGAGTGTAGGTAACTTGTTCAGAACTTCCTAAAAGTACTTTCAGCTCAATGCTATGTGTCTATTACCGTAAACTATTAAAGCTGAAAGCTGAAAGCCTTCTTATGGAATCTTTACCATTTACCCTCCGGCAGGACTATGGTTAACCCATTGGAAACATGTAAATATGCCTATATTTTTAAAAAACAAAATGAAACAAAAAAAACTCCAGGCAAGGAGGCAAAGAGGCAAGGAGATTTAGCTCCTCATTTCAATGTTTTATAAGACTTGGGAATCTTTTCCTTTACATAACCTAAATCCATCATGTTGCTACTTAGACTGGTTCTGCAATAGAGCTAGAGAACATCTGGTGACCACATCTGTGTTATGTAACCCTTCATATGCTCTCAAACTATTATTAGATTCAGAATAAATTTCCTACCATGTGTAAGATTGGACTTCAAATTAATAATTTCTCTTATCCAAAAATGATGGCATCAATTATTAAAACATGGTGGTGGTTGTGAATGAACAAAATAAATGTGTCTAAAATGAGCGAGGTATTGTAATGAATTTTTTGAAAAGCTTTCATGTCTGCTAAATAAAAGTATTTGTATACAGAAGGTCCATTTATCTTCTGTGAAAAGTCTGTTGTGGAACTGAATGAAGCAGAAAATAGGTTCAAAAGTCTCCTTTGGAAAAACAACAGAGCCATGTGTTTCCATTTCAAAGGGATTGAGTTTTGGGGTGATTCAGTTAACTTTGGTCATTTTGAAACACTTAATGAAAGTAATTTCTGTTATCATCATGGGACAGCATGCAGAACAACAAAGAACAAGTACACAAAACTTTAAAAAATGTACATTGTTTACTACTGTGTAAATCAAAGCAAAATGGGACCAAGTTAGTAGTTAGCATTTTACATTTAAAATACAACCTTATACTATAATGTTTTTAAACAGCCACATGAGACCTTCTAGTTACAAGGCTATTTAAGGAAGGCAGGACTGACAGCACATAGAATGTTAGTAATAAATCTCAAAGGCCAATTATTCCATTTTGGAAAGTTCCTCGAATGTAGAGTTTTACATGTTTACTGTATAGGGAAGACTTTCCACTGTACATTGGAGTCATTGTTTTGCTGCTTTTTCGCCCTCCAAGTTGCTAGGTTCTGCTGCAAAGATTTTAAAGGCTGTTTTGTTGGCAGCCTAGGATGCATCCGTGACCTTACCAAAGTGGAAGTGAAAGCTCTTAGTTGTTTTTTTTTTCTTTCTTTTTTTCTTTTTTTTTTTTTTTTGCAACAGTAAATCTACTAATTTTACAGTCAGTTGAACAGCAATAGATTAATTTGTGTAAAGGCTGCACTCACAAAGAAAACCTGAACTTCAGTGGCTTGAATGGCTGAAACAGCAGTGTGATATTTGAAGGGTAGACACTCTCACAACTTGCTCTAGAAGGATGCAGGCAGTCCACTGTCACCTGCTTCTCAGCACAGGTGCTGACCCCTCGGTCGACTCGGGGCCTCCTGACGGGGTAGCAGGAAGGCTGGGCCTTTGTGTGCTACAGAGAACGCGTTTCCAATGACTGGGCCAGTTTTCCCCAGCAGCCACAGGAAACAGAAGAAAGAAGAGGTTAAGGGCCGCCACGAGGGTCAGAGTGGGTTAAATTTAGTTAACATCAGAGGTTATAGCTTTTAACAAGAGCTTCAAGAAAACTTATTCGAAGATGCAATTTGTTTCTTCTTTGTCTACTGTTATTTTTTTTTTTTACCCTATTGATAGTGACAGCTTAACAAAGTTTTTATATGCTAGAGGTTTTCATCCTTTAGAGAATAAAGAACTGTGTTCCTAAAAAGAGATGCAGGTGGAGGACTTTATAAAGCTTCCATGATTTTCAAATTGGGAGCTTTAAAATAGGCTCCCTGCTTGGCTAAGTCAAAAATAATCTGTGAGGGATATGTTAAAAAAAAAAAAAATCCCCATTTGAAATGGAGGAACGATTCAGCAGTCAGATGCAGAGGCTCAAACTTCTAGAAGATTCTTTGTATTTTTCTCTCAGCCATCCTAGTGTAGTTTTCCCAGTTGTTATTCAAAATTAGAGTCCTTCTCTTAAGTTTCCCTGGGTGTGTTTCTTTAAACTTAGAGAATACTGGACAGAACTAGTTGTTGATTATATTTCTATGTAAGCAAAAAAGATGGCCATTGATTTCTGTATGTATCTTTAAGCGTCTCTTATAATTCTGTGACTCTACCTGTTCCAGGACTGAACCGTTATGGAAATTGGTCTTTCGAAGGAGAGTCATGTAAGCTCTAGCCCTTCAACTGGACGTGTATGCTTACCTGGGTCTCATGTTCAGTGTCCTGTTTCATGACCCATGCATTACATAGTTGCATTTCTCTGATAAACAATAGGCTTGACTTCTTTGAATGAGTTTTATCCACTCATTTAGCTGAGGTTTTTGAATGCCGAACTTGGGTTTCCAGGGCCATGCTTTCTACTGGGTGGTCAGCAAGGTAAACGTAATCTGCACATCTAAGTGCGGAACTATAATGTGCATTTGAAAACATGTTTGTTCCAGGTATAACTAGGACTCGCTTAATTAT